TCCTACTAGATGTGAACAGCTTCTTTCCTGCTCAGTGACCCCAGACTGCAAATTGCTTCATGTGGTTTCCCCTGTCCCTCAGTCTACGAGCCTCATCCAATACATAGTTATCTGTGACTCAAAGCCCACAGACCAGGAATCAGCAGCAGCATTTCCTCTGACAAACGTTTTCCAACAGTAGGTGTAGCCTGGAGAAATGGAAGCAAGCTGACTGACCTGCATATATTCAGGCATCAGACAAGCTCAGGAAACAAGAGGTTTTAACCCCCGATGTGTGCCCATGCCACTGGGACAGCTAGGCCATGGACAGGCCAGCTGATGGATGCTCTCCACATTACATTTGGAAATACCATTCTCTTTATTATTTTTTTCCCCTCTCCTTCCAGCAGAGGACTCCTTCAGCCAGCCTTTTCCCAGCAGCTGCCTTTAATTCCAAAGGACGAGGGAGAAGCACCTTATCTCCCATTCTCTGAGGACTGACAGGAAGATGGTGTCTGTAAACAAGAAGGGTTTTCATACAGATTGGGTTGCTAAGACTCCTGTCCCCTTTCTCTTGTAATATCTGAATATCATTTTTTGTATGTGGTAATTTGTTGCTGAGCAGTGATACATGTGCCCCCAAAGGAGCTGGATGGGGGGGTACTGAGCACAAGAAGTAAGCCTATACCAGATTTACCCTTGCCCTAAGTTCACCAGTTCACCCTTTTCCAGTTCCAGAAAGCACAGGAAAGCCCTGCCTTTGTTCTTCATGACAGCAGTGGTGACGTTAGCTTAAGGTCCATCAGACTTCTGCAGATCTCTTCATTTTCTATGCAATAAAGTCATGCTTCATGAGTGTTTGTGTTCACATAGGACTGTTGTTTTGTGTTTGTTTTTGTTGTTGTTGTTTTTTGTTTGTTTTGTTTTGTTTTTTGTTTGTTTGTTTGTTTGTTTTTTAATTTCTGTATTTCATGACAGCAACATGCACAGGGGCTCCAGGACAAGCAGCAGGTGATGGAACAATCAATATAATTACTCTATCTTTTACTCTTACAGACGTTGTTCAGGAAGCAGCTTTCAGCATGGGAAAAACATTTTTGACCCACCAAGGCCTGCTAGTCTCACCCCACTGCAGTTCACAGAGTAGGTATGTCTCCTGTGGATTCTCACAGGAGGCAAAATGACACTTTCATGCCTTTTTAGAAATGTACATGCTGAAATAGAAGAGAAATTACAAGGAACCAGAGGTTACAATTTTGTTTTCAGTAGTATTCCAGTATGCAAAAAAAAAGGGAGAGGGTAGAGGAACCAATAGGGGGAAGGGAAGGGAAGGGAAGGGAAGGGAAGGGAAGGGAAGGGAAGGGAAGGGAAGGGAAGGGAAGGGAAGGGAAGGGAAGGGAAGGGAAGGGAAGGGAAGGGAAGGGAAGGGAAGGGAGGAAGGGAAGGGAAGGGAAGGGAAGGGAAGGGAAGGGAAGGGAAGGGAAGGGAAGGGAAGGGAAGGAGAACTTCTTGTATTTTCATAAAGATTAGCATGGTCAGCACAATTCTACTTGAGGGAGAGAAAAATAAGTGCTAAGAAAAAGATGCGACTCTCAAGAATGACATTTTCTGATAGATAAAATGAGATCTATTCAGTTCAGAATAGACCTCTAAATGTAATAACTTAAGTAACTGTACAAATACTGGAAATGTTAGTAGTAAATATATCCTTCATATTAGCAATTATCCATGATAGATACATAAATAACAAAATATATTTTCCATGAGGACTTTGTAGCCTTTTTACAATTGTGCTACATAGAGATCTGCATTAGAATGCACTTCATATATATATTTTTTCGCATTTGAGTAATTCAGAATATGTGTAGTAGACAACTGGACAGACCCTTAACAGAAAAGCAAGAAACCCATAGATTGTTTTACAGATTAGCACCCACCAGTAACTAAAAACCCCACGGTCTGAACCAAGGACAAATGAAATCTTGCAGATCAGCTGTCACATACTCTCTAACTGCAGGAATCATTGACTAAGTAAAAACGCATCTCATTTATCTAAGTCAGTCGGAAGGCTTTGTATTCTTACCCTCTCTCCTTCTCCCAGCCTCCCACACATTAGCATGTTTGTGTACATAAACCAGTCTTTAAACCACAGAATATGTCTGTTTATTTTCTCAGTGTAAACTCTGTGTATATAAAACCACAGAAACTATGTATGCTTGTTGCTTTATGAGATTTTCTATTGAATTTATGTAAAAGTAGCATTTAGCTTTGTTTATTTAATTATGGTAAAGGAATAATATTTTTATTATATATAATTCCTTTGTTATGTCATTAAATATACAATGGAGAGAGATAACGGAATCACAGGCTTGAATTTTACTTTTTCTCATTTGAGGTGCTAAAAGAGATGTATTTTTTCTGTTTCTGTTATGTTATTTGGAAGTTAGTGCTTATTAGCTTATTTTAAGCTTGTTGATCATTAAGAAACACAAACACACATATTATATGTAACATAATATAACACACACATATATGTATGTGTATATATATATACAGGGAACACAGTGACAGTGTCTGAAGTTCTGAAGAAAATACATTAAACTCAATATACAAGCCAAATCCTTTCACCGATTTCTTGCAGAAAGTCTATGTATCATTTTGGAAAACATCATTACAACATATTGTAGAGATCTGATGGATTCAAAAGTATTTCTAGTTGTTGTCATCTGATTATAACATATAGACAAGGAAAATTTTTCAAGTCTTACTTAAACTCTTGCCTGTGTCTTTACTATAAAATATTGCACTTTGGCTAAGCTATTGCAACGGGTGTCCCATGCGTATTTGCAATGACATAAACACATTTCTTTAGAACAATCTTGCATTACAGTAATCTTCAAGCTATAAACACCTTAAAGATATGCCTAGACAAGTGAAATTTGTTGTGTGACTAACTTAATACAATATTAACAAAGGTCTGCATTGTTATAAATGTTTGCTATAGATGTAACTTACTATTTTTTGAAACGTATATTAAAGTAAAGTTAAACAGGTCTAACAGAAGGACAGACAAGAAATTTATAATACATCATAAAATATTTTGACACTATAGGAATACACAGAATCCCAGCAACTATTCATCCACTTTTCTCCTCAAACCATGTAAGAAAATGCTTAAAATGAATTGTGTGTTTACAGATAAATTGATAATTTGCCCAAAGTCATGCAATCACTTCCATTTTTTATTTTTATAGCTATTACAAACTGTTCTAGCTGTTCAGCATTGTTACATATAACACATATAAACTCATAGAACCTAACTAAAAGAATAACAATTAAAAAAAAAAAAAAAGTTAAAAAAGAGTTAAGCACTTAGTAGCTGGTTCCTTGATACAAATTTGAGGTAAAATTAAGATTTAGCAAATCCAAAAAATAGCCCCTATCTCTTTTACTTTTCTTTCTAAATTTAATCTCATGAAGGCGAACTTGCAACACTTTCAGAATTTAAGAGCTAGAGAGAAATACACCACATATAAAGACTGACTGAGCATTTGAGAGGTGAATTGCACCCAAAAATGTTTAGAAGAGCTGGGGGAAAAAATGGCAGAGGGATGACAGCCAAATATAACTACCTCCTTTTTTTTTTTTTTTTTTTGCCATTAATATACAACAGCTATATAATTGTGTACTAAACCTTGAGAACATCTTGACTGATTACAATTATATTTTAAAATGTATTTTTAATATCTTTTTTATATTTTTACCATTGCCCCATTATTGATAACTTGAAAAAGAATGTAATGAATTTATTTTATAATGTTCTGATTTTGTGAAAACAGCTTCTAAATTAAGTAGAATAAACCGCACTTTTACAGGTATTTAATAATTTTCCTTCCTTTCCCTAGCACTTTTTACTAGACAACATTTAAAGTTCTACTCCTTGTAAGATGATAGTAGCAATTATAATATCTAAAATGTATGGCTACAAATGTGTCAAAACTTCTTTAATCTATATTTTTACTCCACTACTAATGCTTTGCAAAGCTGATGTATTAGAACTTTTTTTCTGTATTGGACAGAAAATATCCGATCTGACATTTACTGTTAATTCTGTGGCACAGCAGCCTTTTCAAGAGCCACAACTGGTTCAGCAGGGAAAGGGCACTTTCAGGTTCTCTTGTTCCCCAGCACTGGGGTGAGCCATCTCCTGCCTTTGCCCTTCCCTGCCCTACCTTTACCCGTTTTCACGGGTGTCATTTGCTCCTTCCCTTGTGATGCCTCCCGTGCCAGCTCTAAGCCTTGCCCAGTGACGAGGCAGGGCAGCAGGCAGCAGTTTCCCCAGCACATCCAGACCTTAGTGCAGCCCCTTGCAGGCACAGACAGTGCCCAGCACAGTTACTTTTGGAAGCAGGGTTCCTCTGCAGTTGGGCTTGCACAAGCAGCATGCTCACCCTTCCAGAAGCAAGCCAGACACTTTGCACAGATATAAAGCACACCTGTGGAGCAGCAAAGCAAGGGATCCCCTTCGTGTGGAGCAATGACAGCACAGAGCTGAAGCTGAGATTTTCTGCCAGTAATCTTTTTACCCTCTCAGCTTCTTCTTGTAGATGTCTTCTTTCCTCGTGAGCCCTCTGGCACTGCTCTTTTCTTCTGGTGCTCTCCTTTCTGTTTCTGTTCTTGCAGAGCAAAGCTCCACACTCAACTAGTCACAGAAAACGCCTGCAGGTTCAGCTCAGGATGATGTAAGAGGAAAGGCAAAAAACACTTTGACCTCAGTTGCTCCCAAGTAGCAACAAGCCTTTACACACCTGCTCTTACCAGCACTTCTTCCTCTCCCAGTACATGGTGAGTGAGAGCTGATACGTGTTTCTGGTTAAAAACATAATAACTGGATTGTCTCTTTGCAGCCCACTTGTAAGTTTGGAAGGGATGGTAACACTTAATTGTCAGGAAATGTGATTTATTTTTGTGTTCAGAAGAACCCTTCAAGTGGTGCAGCTGTTCCGTAAGGCACACCCAACTTTCCTCTGAAGCACCTGAAGCTGTGGGAACTAAGTGGAAACCTCACACACAGCAGGATTTCTCGATGCTCTCAGAGCTTTGCCAAGGTTAAAGTGCTCAGAAATACCCTGATGAGTGAATAAACTCATAAGTTACCAGCAAAGTTTAAATACCTTCCTGCCAAATCTGGAAAGATGAGAGTTCCTCCTCTGGAGGAAGAGAGATGACCACGTGTTGGGTGCCTTGCAGAAGACATAATATCCAAGGATTCGACCTCTAACAGACCATGTCTGCTCTACTGGGCCTCATGCTTAAGGATTGAGAAGCTCTGATAAAACCTGAAACTTATATCTTTGGGAAAGGTAAACTGCATGCGGATCACAGGATGGAAGGTCGAGATCCTGACCAGAGATCACTGTACATCGAGACAGTGACACACAAAACAGTCACCTTGGTCTAGGTGAAGGTCTGTTCTGCACTGCACAAATCCTGTAGCTGCAGAACAGCCTCAGGCAGTCCATGGTAACAGATCCCACCTGGTACTGGCCTTGCCTTTATCTAAGGTGTTCTCATGTGCACTTCCTTTAGGAATAGAGGTGTTTTGCTTTGGTTTTGTTTTGATTCAGGATCTGTGCTACACAAACACGGGGTGCCCAGCATCTGAAGATTTACTCACTGCTTATATGCTTCTTTTTCTGTGTTAAACAGCAGTTTTATTAAGCTATTTACTGTCAGGCCTTTGTTACTTAGCTCCAGAAAGCTATGCCACAGTCTGTTTTGGCAGCACCCCATGGTCCAGGAGGATAGGTCGCCTCAGACTCAACCATGCTTGGACCCACAGAGCCAGCTTTGGCCTATTACAGTGGCAGAGCTCCAGGTCCCTGCATGAACTGGTCTTGTTGTTTAGTTTATTGGTTGTTGTGGTTTTTGTTTGGTTGTTTTGTTTTGTTTTTCCATTACCTGGGCTATTGCAAAACTGCATGAGTTTGCAGGATGAGGATTTGGGTCTCCATTTCTCATTTTATGGAGTATCTGAAGAAAACTGCTGAGCCCTGTCTCTTCTGAGGGATAAGTGCTTTCAGTGCTTTCTGAGTAGAAAAGAACTTCATCCCTTAGCTCTGGGTGTCATCTGGAGGAGACATAGCAAGAAGACTAAGGATGATGGTGGTTATTCTGGTGCTGGGGATGTGCTCTGACCATTCTAGGTGGACCCTAACTAAGACCAAGTTGGGCTGTGGGAAGAGTTTTAGAGTGGAATGAAAATTTTGTGGCATGGTATCTGAAGTTCACATTTGGTTTAAGGCTGCTTTGTGATCAGTCTGAGGCCATAAGAGAGAGGAAACTTCCAGGAGCAACAATATTCTCACCATAGGGAGGGTACCTTGTGAAGAGAAGAGGTAGGCTACAGTGACTTTTTTTTTTTTTCTTCAGTATTCCTGTGAGAAACCAAACAGCCAGCAATCAGCAATCAGTCTCCTGTTATAGTTTGGTTTTATTATTATTTAATTGTTCCCATAAGGATGTGACCATCTTTGAGGGAAAGATAACCCCAGGAGAATGTCACTAACATGGGTGTATGATGTTGTTCAGTGTGTGCTCTGTCACTCACTGAAATCACTCGCAGGCCAGTCTCACTTTTGAGAATTTGTTTGGGTCTTCCCACCTCCAAGCCCCAGTTCTGGTGCCTGTCATCTGAGCCCACCCTGCCTTGGGACTTTGCCTTTGGCACCATTATATGAGATATCCAAAATCCATCCCAACAAGCCTGTACCTATACCTGTCCCCACAGCACCTCAGTCCTCTCAGAGCAACAGCAGTTTCAGAAATCCCTTAGTGGGCACCCACAAACATTGTAACAGCAATAATTTCCTGGGATTAATCAATTTACCTCTTCCTCTCACTCACATTCTCTACATCATGCAATCAACATTAGTAAATGTGATAAAGGTATAGAACTGTAACACAGATTGAAATACAAGAATTTTATAGTTCTAGGGTCAAGCTCTCTTACAGTCTTCCAAGGATGGAAGAAAGTCTTACTGTAAGTCTTTTCTTTCTCCAGGTTTCACAATATCCTGTGTACTGTAACAGCAACATGGTGATCTGGATGAGAAAAGAGATGTTTTTGCTGTGTTGTGACAGGTTCACATCATATTGCCAAGCCACAGGTTAACCTCTGCTGAGCGAGCTGCCAACAACTGACCAGATGTTGAGAGCTTCTAGTTCCCAAACACCCAGAGCTTGAACTACCTCATCCTGCCACTGCAGTGTCCTAAGACTAGATGAAAATGACTTACTGCACTTCTGAAACAGTATTATCCCTCCCCACACACAGCTGGATGGCTTTATTTAAAGCCATATCCTGGGATGGTGGTTGCCTTCAAAAACAGCCAGACCCTTCCTGGGAAGCAGCCCAAACATATACTCTGTGCATCCTTGTAATGCACAGCATGAGCCATGCTCAGTACCACCTGGAACACCAGTGTCCTGCATTCAGGGCATATTGCTGATGTGGCTGTGGGCCCACACCTGAGCTAGAACACATCTGTGGCAGCGAATGATGACCAACAGAATTTCCTTTGTCTGGCACTAATGTTGTAGCCTCACAGGAGTCTGATGAGGTTACAGAGGAAGCAGGTTAAGTAATTATAGTTTTAGACACTAGGACAGAAGAAAACTGATGATATGATTGATTTGATTGATATGCTCATGGTCAATTTGCCTTTCGAGCACTCTGTCCATATTTGTTATGTGGTTTAGAAAGATTGGATACCAAAATGAAAAACATTATTTGAGATCATCAGCAGGTAGGTAAATTAAACCGTAATACAAAACATCTTGTTCTGACTGCTTAGTCATAGAACATATGAGTCAGAGTGTTTAATGATTTAATTTAATTTATCTCTTTAAGTATCATGCTCTTTATATTTATTGTTATTACTCAATGAAATGGAAGCCATAACATAACTGCATTTCTGTGCCTGATTTACATTTTTGAAGATCTGGAAGGGTATGAGGGAACATTTCCTATGCACATATTGGATGTTGGTCTCCCAGTAGCTGTGGCTTTCTGTCCCCATCTTCTGCTTGTGACTTTGTAAAGGAGCCTTTATCAAATCCCAGAGCTGAATAGGACAGGAGAAGGTGTACAAGAAAAGAAAAGTCATGAAAATCAGTGTATCACAAAACTACAGCATTCCTTAGCACATCTCTCTCTAGCAGCTTAGGTGTTGTTTGCCTTTGCTGCCAGGTTGTTGACCTTCCTTACAACCCAGCTCCTCTAACTTCAGACTTCTGTCACAGTCACTGATCCAATGTTATATATACATTCAGGCTCCTGGGACAAAGAACTGGAGGGACAGTTCAGAGCTTGAAAAGCAGAAGGCAAATAAGTACCCCAGGAAAATTGCTGTTTCCCTTTTATCAAGCTTATTTCCTTTTTTTTAGGGCAAATGCTGCCCTGGTGATTTTCAGACAGTTGAATACTGGGGACAGACAGTTTAGATTTTGAAAGGTAGTGTTTGAGGGAAGAAAAGGGGAATGGGGAAGGTTATTTCTTCACTTTAAGCTTAACCATTGCAATAGGATAAAAGATTTCCCTTTCACCTCTCTATTTCCTGCGTCATCCACATGCCATTCAGATACTTCTCAGTGGTAGCTGTCTCTGATCTTTGTCCCCAGGTCAGTCTTGGATCTCTGTGTCACCGGAAGGAAAATTCAGGCTGCAGCAGTAAATATCAGGTGAGTGAAAGGAGATAGGGGGATAGAGGTGTTCTCTAGTGCATGGTGGCTGTGCAAGGTGTGGTAGGGCCAAGGGCTTTGACACAAGACCATGGTGAGGGAAAGAATCTCAATTCATGTGAAATGTCCTGAGAGACAGAGAATAAAGAAACATCCTTTCCTTCTTCTCACCATAGTTTGTCCTGGGTCTTTAGCCATAGGAAGATACAACATGAGCCAGCTTTTTCTTGACTTCAAGAGACAACTTGTGTCTATACTGAGATTTTGTACTGATGGCCAAATGAGAAGGAGCAGGGTGAGCTGTGAAAAGCCCAAATACCAAACCAACAACCTAAGTTGCTTTTTGGGGAAATTGCATCATGTCTTTGTAAGTAGTTTGAAGCAGGATGGCTCCACTTACTAAAGCACAAATTGTTCATAGGGCTGCAACAGGACTGTTATTATCCCTGGCTGTTTGTTATTGCTTTTCCACCCTGCCAGTTACCACCCTTGCACTGGTCTTCCTAGGAAGGACAGGACAAATGATCACTTCTGTAGATTTTTTTTAATGTTTAAATCTAAATCTAACCCATACAGTTCTGTAAGTGCTTGGACAGCAACTCTGCAAAGGAACAGATGGATATTGGCCATAAATAACCAGGCTCACAAGCAAACCAAAAAGGAAAGTGGCAATATTATACAAAAGAAAACATAACAATCCTAATTTTTCCAGAAGTTTCATTTTTCCAGAAATACTTTTCCTGACATGAATTCAACTAAGCTTAAAGACAGCTAGCCAGAAATTAGTAGTTCTGTTTCCTGAAAAGCATCACCATGATGACTGGGGTTTAGTTTCACTCACAACTAAAACAGTGTCTCTCCTTCCCTTCCCTCTCAAAATTTCAGTGGTTTCTCACCTGCATACTGTGCTATCCTCTAAAAGAGCTCATAGTTTGTGGCATTCAGCTGAGATGTCATAGGATTGATTACCCAATTCATCTCCTTCTTTTCAGCCTGGAGACGTTTTCCTAAGGGGAGGGACATGGGGAGTGAAAAACAAAACTTTCTGCAGAAACCTCTTGCAGCCTTTCCCCATGTAAAGCCAAATGATGATAACTCTCATTCCTTCATGCACTTCTGTGTCTCCAAGCTAGAAAAACAAGTACCACAGAAACTGATGAAGGAAATCATATAATGAAGGAAGTGAAAGAGTCATGATGGAAAAAAAAATAAGAAGCCAGCCTGGAGAGCAGAATGAACAGGAAAATGTATGAGAGAAGTAAATGAGATGACAAGAATAAACAGCAAAATCTGACGGGATATCAGAAATAGGCCAAGCACAGAAAGGTACTTCTGGAATTTCACAGTTGACCCTGTCTGTGTGAGGGGAAGAAGATGCTCGTTATGCCAATGTATGAGACTCGCTTATTTCATCTGCAGAGAAGAAGGAGCACAGGAGCATGATATGTGGTGGAGGGGAAGAAAATCTTTCTCCCAGCTTAGCCGAGGGCTTTAGTCTTGTTCAAGTTCACAATAGTCTCTGGATGTCCTGTGAAGATATCTGAAAATGTCATCTCAGGACTAGCTTTCAGCAGCCAATCCTGTTGTGAATGAATAGGCAAAATGAGAGAAGAATAAAGGAAGTAAGCTCTGAATTCCTCAAGATTTTATTCATGTGAGAACACTCAAGAATTCTATGAGAGAAATACTCAATGTTCCTTCTACCTAGAGGAGATGGAGTTCATCATTTCTATGATGTTTCATTTGTCCTGTCCCTCAGCTGCAGCTCAGCTCTTGTTTAGAGGCCCTGGAAAGAGTAGTTTGTGTGTTGGAAGGGAGGACCAAGTTTGCAAAAGACCTTTCCAGTTCAGGCCTCACTCTATCAGTACGGAGCAGCCATTATGGAGATCTGTGTCCTTGGTGCCTTGCTGTGGTGTTCATAGCAAACCAGTGACCAAGAGGAATTTATCTGTCCCTGGGGCAGGGAGCAAGTATGGAGAGCATCCTTAGAAGAAACGTGAAATGATGAGGCCTCTGGCACCTCTGGCACTGTGATTGTTTAGTAAACATAGCTCTCCTCTGTGAAGTCACCTTGAGATCTCCTGGAGACTGCCATTCAGAAATGGGAGAAAGGAGACGGATGGAGCAACATCCCTCCACCTTCCAGTGTTTCTCAGCCCCTTGTCTCTTGGGATGTTGGGATGTCGAGGCATTAAAAGTGAGTCCCTCAGCCCCTGGGCTTTTTGTGAAGGAAGTGACAGGCATGTTTTTTCAATGCATGCCAAACAGGTGGGTCATCCACCTCCCCAGCCTTGAGCACAGCTCCGAGTGACTCCACACTTACAATAAGATTTCTGCACCCATGCTCACACTGTGCCACTTTGCACTGCTCATGAGGCACAACGAAGAGGATACGCTACCTCCATTTCATCTGGCTGCTTCTGCTTTTTCCAGTCCCTCAACTTTTCTCTCCCTGTGCCATCATTTCTCTCTCCCACATCCACAGACAAGCAGAGCAGAAGCCTCCTCCCGCTCCTCCAGTAGAGGCAGGGGGAGGGAAATGAGGAGGTGAAGCAGCATGCTGGAATGTGAGATGTGTGATGAGATTTCAGCAAGCTACACTGTCCTGTGGAGAACAGGCAATTACCCCAATCCAACTTGTTTCTTCACTGGTTCCATTCCCAAAGCCCTGTGCCTCGGTTTCCTGGCAAGTGAAAGCATTAGCTGTTACCACCCCCATGTGCTCTGCTGAGAGTAGGGCAGGGAGGTGGACCTGTTTGTGGGAGGTGATTGATTACTAATGTCTTATTGCTGTTGTTGTCATATATACTGAGCAGATGTTGTGTTATTTTCAATCTTTCCACTAAGCTGACAATTTAGGTCACACCAAGTTAGACCATGGCTAGATCATTTTGCCACAGAACTACCCAATATAAGCAGATTGCCTTGCAATTTGCTTGCAGTTGGAACTCCACTCACTCAGGTTACTGCCAGAGTATCTAACCAGAATCTCAGATGGATTTTGCAGCTTCTTAGCTTCACATTGCCTAAACTCCGTCATTATAAGTAACCAAGCCACAAAGTTAAGTGCTGACTTGCTGATGTAAAACTAGGATTGCTGTGATAAGGTAAGTTCTGCTGAGAATGAACGCTGCCCAAAGCTGAGTCTGCTGACTGTGGTGGTTTTACTCAGGTGGACAGTCGAGCTCCACCACAGCTGCTCTCTCACTGCCCTTCCTCAAAGGGGAAGGAGAAGAATACGATGCAAAAGGCTCAAGGGTTGAGATAAGGATGGGGAGATCACTCAAAAATTATCATGATAGGCAAAACAGACTCAAAGTAGGGAGATTAGTAAAATTTATTGCCTATTACTAACAAGCTAGAGAAGTGAGAAACAGAGGAAACAAAAAAAAACACCTTTCCCCCATCCACCCTCTTCCACCTCCTCCCCCGGAGCAGCACAGGGGAACAGGGAATGGGGGCTGCAGTCAGTCCCTAACACCTCGTCTCCACTGCTCCTTCAGTCACTCCCTGCCCCTGCTCCCCGTGGGGTCCCTCCCACGGGATGCCATCCTTCCTGAACTGAGCCTGCGGGGGCTGCCCACAGGCAGCAGCTCTTCAAGAACTGCTCCCACATGGCTCCATCCCAGGGGGTCCATCCCCCAGGAGCAAACTGCTCCAGCACTGGTCCCCCATGGGTGGCAGCTCCCCCCAGACCCCTGCTCTTGTGTGGGCTCCTCTCCACGGGCTGCAGCTCCAGCCCGGGGCCTGCTCCACCGGGGGCTCCTCCACGGGCTGCGGCATGGAGATCTGCTCCATGTGGGACCCATGGGTGCAGGGGGACAGCCTGCTCCACCAGGGGCCTCTCTCTCCACAGGCTGCAGGAGAACTTTTTATTTTGTTTTGTGTTTTGTTTTTGTTTGTTTTCCCATTTCTTAAATCTGCTCTCACAGAGGCACAAAAAGCATTGCTTATTGTCTCAGTTCTGAGCAGCGGCAGGTCCCTTTAGAGCTGGCTGAAGCTGGCCCTTATCTAACATGGGTCAGATTCTGGATTCTTCTCACAGAAGCCACCCTTGCAGCCCGCTGCTACCAAAACCTTACCAATACACTGATGAACATGGTTTTCTGCTAGATGTAGCACAATGGGAAGGTGGAGACCCCTCAGTTATCCTGGACACTTACTTTATTCTAAGCACACCACTTCCTGTAATACTGGATCAGACCATCTGACAACCTGACCAGTTATCCTTCTGACAACTCATAGAAACTCTCCTCCCCTCCCAACATCAGTTAATGAGCAATATTTTCAGCCTCCAAGGTCACAGAATCAGATAATGGTTTGGGCTGGAAGGGACCTTAAAGATCATCCAGTTCCAACCCCTCTGCCATGGGCCCCATCCAGCCTGTCCTCGAACACCTCCAGGGATGGAGCACCCACAGCTTCTCTGGGCAACCTGTTTCTGTGCCTCACCACCCTCATAGTGCATGATTTATTCCTTATATCTAATCTCAACCTACCCTACTCCTTGTCCAGCCCCTTGATCATATTAATGGCTCTCCTCTGGACTCATTCTATTACTTCCATGTCCTTCTTACGCTGGGAGCCCCAGAGCTGAAGACAGTACTGCAGGTGGGGCCTCACAAGAGCGGAGTAGAGGGGAAGAATCAACTCCCTCGACCTGCTGACCTCTCCTCTGTTGATGCAGCCCAGGATACAGTTGGCTTTCTGGGCTGCAAGCACACATTGCTGACTCATGTTGAGCTTCTCATCAGCCAACACCCCAGGTCCTTCTCATCAGGGCTGCTTTCAATTCATTCTTTGCCCAGCCTGTATTTGTTCTGGGGATTGCCCCAGCCCAGATGTACAACCTTGTTGGTCTTGTTGAACCTCATGAGATTTGCACAGGCCCACCTCTCAAGTCTGTCCAGGTCCTTCTGGATGACATTTCTTCCCTCCAGCGTGTTAACTGCATTATACAGCTTGGTGTCATTGGCAAACTTGCTGAGGGTGCACTCAATCCCACTGCCCATGACACCAACAAAGATGTTAAACAGTGCTGGTCCCATCAATGACCACTGAGGAACACCACTCGGTACTGCAGACATTGAGCTGTTGACCGCAACTCTTTGAGTGTGACCATCCAGCCAATCCTTACCAACTGAGTGGTCCATCCATCAAATCCATCTCTCCAATTTAGAGACAAGGATATCATGGGAGCCAGTTTCAAATGCTTTGCACAAGTCCAGGTAGATGATGTCAGTTGCTCTTCCCCTATCCCCCAGCGCTGTAACCCCATTATAGAAGGCCTCCACATTTGTCTGGCACAATCTGCCCTTAATGAAGCCATGTTGGCTTCATTCACCAATCAAATCCGTATTTTCCATGTGCCTTAGCATAGTTTGAAGGAGAAACTGATCCATGATCTTGCCAGGAACAGAGGCAGCCTGACTGGCCTGTAGTTTCTGAGTCTTCCTTTTTCCCCTTTTTGAAAATGGGGATTATATTTCCCCTCTTTCAGTCAGCGGGAACTTCACTGGACTGCCACGACTTTTCAAATATGATGGATAGTGGCTTAGCAACTACATCCGCCAGCTCCCTCTGGACCTGTGGATGTATCTCATCAGGTCCCATGGACTTGTACACTTTCAGGTTCCTTAGATAGTCTCGAACATGATCTTCTCCTACAGTGGGCAGTTCATAATTCTTCCAGTCCCTGCCTTTGCCTTCTGGGGCCCAGGCCAAATCAATCATCTACAGCACAGAGACAGGGCTGGGGAGTGTTTCTCCACCCCCTGTTGACTTGCTTTTCCTTGTATCTTGCCCACATTTTGTAAGCTGCCCCCTGCTTACCAAACTTACTGTCCAGTTCATGGTCTCTCCAATGCAAACAGCAGCCTCGGATCAGCACAAAGAGATTCCTCAAAGCTCTAGAGTCAACAGTTGTCATCAGCTGGCATCAGCAGATCCACTTCACTGATACAGAGGAGCCCCTCTAACTGATACAGAGGAGCCCCTCTAACCCTGTAAAGTTCTACTAGAACAGGAGGCAGAATTGTCTCAGGCATCAGAGTAAGGCAACACACAGCTCAAATACAAACAGCTGTGAACACATTATGAACAAGCCCCCAGACCAATCCAACTAACCCAAAGTGAAACCCCAATAACATATGCAATTCTTTCCCTGCAAAGAGGATAAGAAAGAGACAAAGAACCACATGTGGCAGATCTGAGTCAGGGCACCGGAAAATGCTCAGACACCATAACGATTAAGGCAATCTAGGAACCTAGACAAAATAGACTGGTTTTCTGTTCTCTTTCTCTTTTTTCCTCTCCTCTACTTAATGTGGTCCACCTCTTTCTCATTGTGACTGACTTTATTTATTTGTCCAGGAATTCATGTTTCTATTGCATTTAAATAAAGGGTCAGATTATGCACTTACAAGAAAAATGTCAAACCTCTAAAAGCCACTGAAGTTGATATAAAACTGCCTTGGACTATCATAGGACCAAAATCCTTCCTTGCTGAGTAACTATCCCAGTTACAGAGGGAGCAGGGATCAGCACCTGGTTAACTGGGCTATTTAATCCCCTCTTTTGGTTTTAACTTCAGCAGGTTGAAACAAGATGCTCACATGTTTTCTCCACGTAAGAGATTTTAAAGCAAAGAAGAGAAAGTGATATAGAACAGCCTGATTCTGAGCATTTTCATTTCCTCCTGTTTCATGATGCTAGGAGACTGCTGTTCAGTAGGCTGCCAGCAGACCTTGGCATTTCCATGACTGCATCATTCAGCACTGTGAGGGTCATTTTTAGGTGCTCCAACTGGCTGTTTCAAGTCATTGGGGTGTCAATACCTGAAAGACACATTCAGAGGACAGGTGTTGAATCCTGTGGTTGGTGTACACCTATTCTCTGGGGATCAAATCACAGAGAAGGAGTGCTCCAGTTCCTCATACAACAGGAGCAGACCTTAATTACCAGGCTTTGCTAGGAACATGCCAGCAAATAAGCTGCTCTGGCTGCAGGGCACCACTACTGCCTTGTCCTCATAGTAGGTGCAGCTGGTGGACAGATCAGAGATCAAACCTCCAGATGGGGCCAGCACATGGGTTTGCAGAGCGTGTGGGTACTGATAGAAACTGAAATCTTCAGTGGTTTGTGTTAACGTGCTGTCTGTGAACTGTGGTGACTGAGGAAAGATGAACTACATCCTGCTCGACCATTTTTGCCACAGATGTGGGGATTACTGGCAGCTGCAGTAAGTGAAGACAGACAGCTGAGGTGTTAACCATGTCAGAGGGCCCTGCTGGATCCCAAATCAACACCTGTATGTTTGCACCAAAAACATGCAACACTCTGCAAGGTTATTTTGCATCTGCAGGCGCTTTAACGCTATTAATAGATTGTTTTCAACTATAGTGAATCAATTCAGTCGTGAGTGGGGTTAAGAGAAGGTGTTCCCAGGCCTGTCTTAGCCCCTGTTTGCATGCAGTACACAGCTGAGGTTAGAACTGGAATTTTTTGCAAAATGTTGTTCCCAACAATCACAGCAGCTCCTCCTCCTCCTTCATGGCTAAATTGTGCCAGGGAAGCGTTACTATATTGTCACAGTCTGAGTGTCTGCAGTTCTTTTGCCATGATTCTGTGGCTTTTCCCGATCTTATAGACAGGGAAGACACCCAGTCAGTAATTCAGTCCCTTTGCTGCCCACAAAGATGTGCTTCACTGCCTGGTGTGAGCTAGCTCTCCCTAGACAATCCGAAAAAAATGAACAAATATTTTTTACCTTTATACCAACACTAGCTGGTGTCAAAGCTATGCCCCGCTCCTCCACTGGATTCAATTCCTAGACAAATGACATCCAGCCGGAAAAAAAAAAAAAAAAAAAAAAAAAAGCTACTGCCTCTTACTGTTCTTCTCTTTGTCTCTTTTTCTTTCCATCTCAGTCACGTCGGCCACCTAAATATTGTTAAACAAAAGCAGATAAATCTCTTTCTTCCGTCAGGCCCAGACAAAATCCACTTGCAGATCCCGTTCCACAGCACTGGGTTTCACGGGTTACCATTCAAATGTAGAGTGGGTGCCAGCCAGGGAGCCTCAGGCTCTAACACTTGCTAATCACTCATGAAT